AATAATAATAATAATAATAATAATAATAATAATAATAATAATAATAATAATAATAATAATAATAATAATAATAATAATAATAATAATAATAATAATAGTAATAATAATAAAAGCGGGGAGGAGGAGGAGTATAAGGATTCTAACTACGAGGAGGTTAAATGTGATTTCTAGTATAAATAATCTATATTATTAGATTTACGTATATATAAAATAATAATAGTTTTACGTATTAATACATATGCTGCTCGTGTTAACGATGTTGTATACAGCTGGAAAATATGGATATATTACTAAAAAGAATTATTGGCTCTGACAATGCTATATTGTTTTGCTAGTAAAATGGCGGTATAGGGAAGTACCCCGCTCGGTACGAATCAATGTCCATATACGAATCAATATTCCTAACTAGTAGCTCGCCCGCTAGTCTGACGGTCGATTTTGTAAACCTGACAAGTAGAGCTTTTAGCTAAATATACAAAATGCGTGGGTATTGAAAGTGCTAGGAATGCCAAGGCTAGAAATGTGACCCGTGCGCCGCACCCCGAGGGATGCACCTAATAGCACGCAGAACATTTAGCGCCAAGACGGCTGCCGATAGCCGACCGGCCCGTACACCCAACTAGAGGGCACGCCTAGCTTACACGCTAGGCAAATAATACCCCTGGGCGCTAGCCCCGTGACAGTAACTAACGAAGCAATTGAATCGCAACGGCGAGGTTGCGTAGACGGAGGATTAGCGGTAGATAGTATTTATACTGATTATTAGTAATTAAAAGCGATTAAAAGGGATTATAGACAACTATAATTAATTAATCGAATACAATTATATACGTTGAGCGTATTATAGTATAGTTATTAGTATGCAGTGTGCGACGTGCGATGGCTGGCGGTGTAAAATGGGTGTAAATGACTGTGTGAAAAAGCGTAAAAGAAATGACCAAGTTAGAGTCGATATTGCGTGCATTGAAAAGTTGAAATTTTGTAGGTAAAAACGGGAATTTCAATGTCAGGTGTTATCCAGTCGTTAGATCCACTTTTTTAGGAAAATTAGGTATAGGAAGGTTTGGGGTGGGTGTATATAAGCTTTCTCTAAAAATAATACTATTAGAACTGTCTCACTGGGGCCATCCTTAGCATATATTTTCTCCTATTATATAATCATCAAAAAGGTTAAAAAAATAAAGAGTGTCCAAAACCTGAGAAGCAACTACAGCTGACAAAGGTTTACCTTTAAGGTAGTATTACTACAGTGGGTGGTCCGAGCTTTATAAAAATAATATATTTAGAAAGAGTTCCAAAAGACTATCCTAGTACTCTATCCTAATCTTTACCATTTCTCCTCATTTTATTATAAAGGAATATAGAAAAGGAACACTTGGAGTTTATATGGGAGTTTCTGCAGCCGACGGCGTTTTTGCGCAAAACAGTAACAGACCTCCTCTCACAAAAGTTCGAGGAGGAGAGACCCATATTTTGTGGGGCGGGTCCGCTGAAGCTTGACGACGGGGGTCAATATAATGGAGACTACTGTGTAACTGTGCCTTTATAGCCACCAAAACCAAATTTTTGCTACCACTATACCGCCTGCCCGGACAACCCCCAAGCTGCAACATTGACCCAATTCCACTTCTCCCTTGGTATAAAAAAAACTAATAATGCCGCTGTCACCTATGCAAGCATCAAACAAAAACAGTGCCCGTTGTTCTCGTCACCCAAACGCCGCCTACCCAAGGTACATGAATCCGTGGCTCTACCAGTTCAACACATTGTATATCGTCTTGCGGGGATCACCCTCGGTCTCGATCAGGTACCGCTCTTTCCTTTTCTCCATGACGCTTGGGGTGTTTTGTTGAGAGAAGACCCGGTTCAGCGTGTTGGACTCATTCCGCAACTGAGAACGGACATATGAGACGACGGTGTAGACTTTCACGACGAAAGGTCTCCAGTTAGGACCAAACACGAGCAATACGGCGCCGCCGACGGACAGGTTCGCGCTGGGGCTGGTTATGCTTACCTGCACCAAAGACAACCAGGCCGGGTACAACCCTTGGCAATAGTGCCGATCTGTTATGACATGAGCATACATTCGTCAAGCGGGATGAAACGGCGGGATGGCCATCTACCTTATGGCAGGCGTCTTGAGAAGTGTATGTGGCTGCGAAGACACACGCAGGGGCATAGTGGGCCTGAAGGGATTTGGACGGTAGGCAGTCATCTGTGTGTTTTGATGTGCAGCGCAACTAGCTGACGTCGAGTTCCAAAGGCCCGCCTTAGGTAAGGATAATGGTCTAACAATCAGTCGAGGTCTGGTGAAGCAGAGGCCGAGTAGGACCGATTTAATCGGGGGAAGGGGATATTTAATTTGGATGTAAAGGGCGGTATTGCACGCAATTGGACGTGTGCGGTTCGCGTTGTCTTGCTGGAGTTTTGGTTCGGTGGTGCGGTTGTTGGCGTGATGTGGTCTCGTGAAGGCGACGATATGGGGTGACGGTGGTGGCCCAGCGAAACTGCGAATGGCTGTGAATGGTTCGATGGAGGCTATGGGTGGTGTTTTTGGTGTCCTCGCGGCCAATTCCGATCGCCAAGCTCAACCGATTCTGACCAGGCCTCAGCCGATGTGAAGCCTGCCGTGCCTGCTTCGAGAAGCACCTGCTCGGGCTCAGCTCAATTTGAATTGAGTTATGCTTCGCCAGAAGTCCAAATGTTGCAGGATACGATCCCGGTTGATTCCGACTCTGAGGTTCTCGACATGGTTCCTTCCCCAGGTTTTGGCTCAGCTCGCCTTAGTTGCTTTTGCACGTTGCGTTGTTGCTGGATGTTGCCCCTGTCCCTTGTACCCATGGCTAACTCGTGAAATACTAGGCGACCATCGACATGGTACTTCGGTTCTCGTCGGTTTTTACCACCTCAACGCCGTGTATCTGCGATTTGCTCACCAAATCTGCGTCTGGCGATGGCTTCAACCTGGCATCAAATTCAGCCACTGTACTTTCCCTAGCGTGTTTGATCCCATTATCATGTGGGTCTGTTTCGGACCCGTGACTATCGGCCGTATCACAGATCTCGCACTCATCTCGCTGTTCATATCCCTTTCCAAGATTGGTCATCATCCTTCCAAATGATGCCATCGCCATCCTCTTATCTGAGATGCCCCGGGGTTTGGTGTAAAATGGGGGTCACTCACCTCACCGTGCCCATACCTTCGATTTGAGAGTCGGAGTGTGACGGTTCATGGCTTTGCTTACATATCAAGAACACTACCATCGCTCATTGCGTGATTCGCAAGCAGCTGTCGTCATGGCCTCTCCCCTCTTGATGAGGCATCTGATCTGCCTCAGCTCGTGTCTTTATTAAACCACCGTGATGTCGAGTTCTTCACCAGAACAACGCTCGTCACTTCTTCGATTATATTGCCACGACGCTCTCCATTCTGTCCGAGCAAAGCAAGACGCCAGAAACTTGCAAACAACTAGCCAGAAACCAGTCGAAAGCCAGTCTCAGGGCTGTCGTGCTCGCCCAAGATGCCTACCGAGTTCATCAGCTTGACATTTCCCAATGCTTCCACGGAGATCAACCCGATCCCGGGTGCCGGTATTGATCCTGCTTACCTGGTTCGCTATGCCCGGACGCTCGATGACTACGACTTCAACTACACTCTTGTGCCATATGATTCTTCCTCCTATGACCCTTTTACCATAGGCGCCACTATTGCCGCCGCCACCAAGAACCTCAAGATCATCATCGCACTGCGTCCAAACACGCTTTATCCAACCGTCGCTGCGAAAGCACTAGCCACGCTTGACCAGATTAGTTCAGGTCGAGCCGTTGTACACTTGATCGCCGGCGGGAGCGATGCTGAGCAAGCCAAGGAGGGCGACTTCCTACCCAAAGACCAGCGCTATGCCCGACTCGAGGAGTACATCCGCATCCTGCGTCGCGCCTGGCAGTCCGCAGAACCCTTTGACTGGGATGGCACGTTCTATCAGTTCAAGCAATTTTCCAACCGCGTTCGTCCCGTCAATGGTACCGGCATCCCAATCTCAGTCGGTGGCTCATCGGAGGAAGCATACCGGATTGGAGGCGCCTTGGCCGACATCTTTGGCCTCTGGGGCGAGCCTCTGAAAGAGACCAAGGAGCAAATTGACCGCATTTACCAAGCAGCTGCTCGAGCTGGCCGCCCCAATTCAGACCGTCCTCGCATATGGGTCACCTTCCGGCCCATCATTGCTGAGACAGATGAACTGGCTTGGCAAAAGGCATATCACACACTGGATGTTTTGAAGGCGAATCAGGCCCGTGTTTCGGGAGGAGGAAGCCAGGCGTCCGACAGCAAAGCGCAAGTTCGAGCCCCCACACCGCAGAACGTGGGCTCTCAGCGGTTGCTAGAGATTGCTTCACGTGGAGATGTTCATGACCGTGCGCTCTGGTATCCCACCGTCACTGCTACCAACGCTCGCGGCGCATCGACCGCTCTTGTGGGATCCCCTCAGACTATTTCTGATTCGATCCTCGAATACATTGATCTCGGAGCCGAGCTCATTTCCATTCGTGGCTATAACAACTTGGACGATGTCATTGACTACGGACGCTATGTTCTCCCAAAGGTGCGCAGCGCGTTGCAGAAGCGCAAGAACGAGGGGGTAGATTCTGCGTAGAGATATTGTGGCTTGCCAACTGTTACCTATCAGACAGACTGACAAACATAACGTTAATGATAGTCCTTTCCATCACTGCATTCACTGCAGGGTTTCTCCGTAGTGACAATGTCTTTGTTGAGTTGGGTAAAGCGAAAGAGGCGTTCAAATGCCAGCATCACTATGAAAATTCCTTGCTCGCTCGTCTGTCGATGTAACACGACCAAGACTGCGGACGACTGAAGTCATGCCTTTTGAGGTCATTCCCAGTCTTGATTCTTATCCACTTTACCAATATCAATATCCCTTACCAGAGTTGCCGTGATCTTGGACAACTCTATGCGGGCAATCTGCTGGCCTGGGCAAGAATTGTACCCTAGCCTCCACTGTCCGAGGAAAAAGGACGAGTCAGCTGGCGGGACAACATGCTCTATGGTGTGTGTTGGTAGCGAGGTCACTTACCGGCATGAAATACGTATCCAGCTCTCATGCGTCCTCTTTCAACCACCGATAAGTTTGGACACTCGCGCATCGGGGCCCCAAAGTCCCCTGAAGTGATTCATCACCCACGGATCAATAGACAGAATGGTACTCTCTAAAAAGTGCTTACTCCTAATGCTCAGTCCACCTGGAAGAGCGGGCTGAGGCGGCGTCATGGAAACAGGTCCAAAGATAAGGAGAGCTTCTTTGATGTAACTTTAAAGAAAATAAAGCGTTCTTCAATCTTCCCGCGGGCCCTCTCCCAGGCGTTCAGATTACGATTCGTATAGTAAACGAATGACTAGAAAACACAGGAAATGGTATCGCTTGCAGCATTCACTACGTCAGTTGCAGCAGCATACCTCTAGACATCCCGCAGCGACATGGCCTCTTTTCCATGGCCCTGAGTCAGTGATTGATCACAATAAATCTGTTCCTGTCACAATCATTGAGACGGCCGTCCGGAGCGCGAACAGTTGTATCATGAATGGGCCGAAGTGCAGAACGTTAAGGGACGTCTTGAGGGGGTAACCAATCAGGAATACAAGTTCAGCAGCGGAGGAAGCCCATGGTCGAAGCACACCTCTCGAGATTTATCATCAGGTCATTGCCAATAGCGTTCCCTACATCGCACTCTTCCTCCAGAACGTCAAACTGGTTGGAGAAAAGTACCTCGCCGTCAATGTCGAAGGTAGTGAAGGTTAACTAATTGTCAAGGTGGACGGCTTTCTTGGATTCGGCAAACCTGTCAAGCCAGGCCAAGAACTGGCCGACCACGCTGTCGATGGAATCCTGAGTCTGCACGAGATCGCTCATTGTGGACCCGGCTGGAAGTGCCTTGACCGTCTCCCATCCTTCTTCGGATCGGTTGTAGACATCTGGGGGTGGAGGAGCGCCGAGCCGGCCGGAGACAGGGCTTGTGGGGTGCGGAGAGATTGCTGACGTGAAAGATGCCGTCTGCGCACATATGCCACCATGACTGCAAGATCAGCAGGCTGATATCAGGACATCCCCAGGGTGGAAGTCGCAATTTGCAGATGTTGGTGGGGGCATGTTCCCCATGGGAAGGTACCACCCAACTGCCTGCCATAGTGAGTGCTTACTCCTCGAGATGCATCCACGGGTTTGGGTAAAAACACATCGTCCCGTCCGTCGCTAGACGATTGTGCGAAACCTGATCTTGAAGCACGAGATGGAAACAAAGGAAAAGAGCAGTCTACGCTTGCAGCTCGTATCTTCCTCCCGTCTATCCTAGGTACCTCCTGGGCATACCTATGTTGGTAGCACCCGCACCGTCTTCAACGAGAGTCCGGTGTCTCAGCGTTTCTGATGATGTTGCCATGAGCTATGCATTTGACGAACTTTCCGCTGGCATGCCCGACACAACTCGGTAAACTGCCGCAGTTCAATCCAAGACCTAAAGGGCGGCTATTGAAACATGTTTCCATGATTCTAGATCCGACTGGCACTGCGTGTTATTGTCCCCGGGGGTATCGGTAAACTTTGCACGGCTCTACCAATAGAGAAGGCATGGGCTTCCGACCAAACACTGAATTTAAAGGTGCCTTCCGTACGTAGACACACTCTTTCCGTGGCTAACAGCGCTGTGCTCGTTACTCACGTGGCCAGCCTTTGAGCTGCAGAACGGGCTACTGAACAAAATCTTCAAGCATCATAACGAGGCCAACTCTTTATTTGGGTGGTACTGTGAGCCATGTCATAGACCATTTGATGGTTTCCCAGAGTCAAAAGAGCGTCGAATGATGAGAAGTGATGTTACCATGTGGGGCCTGCTGTCCTAAGGTTACAGCATTGTAAGTGCATGTCGAGCATGGCGGCGAGCATTGGTTGAGTCATCCGATGATGCTCGACGGCGGGGATATAGAATAACGAAATGTGTACTGCGGTTGCACCGACGTTGGCCAATGACATCAAGTACAGACGCTCGGTCTCGCGTTGTGACCTTGACAGGGCATCGACGAAGGCTGATCGTATATGCTCGAAGTGGAAGTATCCCAGCGTTGACGTTAAATAGGTAGCTGCCCTCCAGTTTTGATCAAGGTCTTGAGAGGTAATGGGTGTGGCCTCTTGACAGAGCACGACCGAACCACACTTGAAAGCTCGGTCCACGATTCACCAGTTTCCAGACCCTCAAATTTTTCTTCGTCGACGAGGGCATCTACTGCGAATACGGTAGCCGGTTGACGTCATGATAATCAACATATCTTTCACCATGTTGCTGGCCAACATTGGCCTTGCAAGTGGTTTGGCTGACTTGCGACTGATCTCTTACAACATCCGCTATGCCACAACATTACTATCAACTAATGAGGAGCCATGGGCTGCTCGTCGGCCTTTGATGGCCTCGCAGGTCAATTTCGAAACCACCAATTGCCCAGAAGCCTTGATCTGCATGCAAGAGGTATTGAATGAGCAACTCGTCGACCTCCAGTCGGATCTTGGAAGCAATTGGAACCATGTTGGGGTTGGTCGGAATGATGGTGCGCAAAATGGAGAGTATTCACCCATTATCTACCAAGCAGACACCTGGCAACTGGATAGAAACAAGACGTACTGGCTCAGCCAGACGCCCCACGTGGTCGGGTCTACGGGATGGGATGCTGCCTTACGCGTATCGTCACAGTTGCGCAGTTCAAGCATCGCACAACAGGTGTGCCTCTGGTATTCATGTGCACGCACTTTGACCATATAGGGACGGTTGCCCGGAATGAGAGCGCCAAGTTGATCATCAAGATATCTGATGAGTGGATGGTCCAAGGCTCCAACTCAACGAAGCCCGCTCCTGTGTTTCTGGGCGGTGACTTGAACCTTGAGCCTACAGAGGAGGGATACCAGACTTTAACTACCCCAGGCGCTTTCCAGGACATCAAAGATCTCGTCCCCAAGACACACTGGTACGGCAACGCCAAAACATCGACCAGCTTTACCACATCGACTTTGGACGACATCCGTATTGATTACCTGTTCGTGCGCAATCCTCTTGGCACCCAATTCTCGACGTATGGAGTCTTGACCAACAAATTCGAGGATCGGGTGTATATTTCGGATCATAGGCCAGTAGTGGTGGACGCAGAAATGCTGGCATGACTGCGTCGCCAGTGAAGAGATGGCTTTGAAAATGTCTGGAGCGGTGTTACAAGAAGGTGTCTCAAGAATCATCGGATGTTTGCCCCAGGCGCCAAAACGGTCAAGCTTTGAGTGAATCAGGACAAGGAGAAAATCAACAGTACTAGGCTTAGAGCGACAGAATGGAGCGACGGACACGCCGGTTTTAATGGAGTATACCGCTTACCTACTGGGATAATTTATTTGCTACTCGTCTTGGACGGGCGGACGATGACCGCTGCGCATTAAGTATATGTACCTAACCTTCCGTATTACGAGCCAAGGTTCGATACACATATGTCTTCTCTCCCTCGTCAGACCAGATTTTCAGGTAGCCTTGATTTCAGTACTTCGAAGACAGAGCTTAGAGCCTAGGGCCGGAGGGTGAGGACCGATTCATTGGGATCTAAATACACATTCATGTATTGCGCCTGAGGAGGAAAAAAAAATAACCCCCAAACCAAAAAAACCAACAAAAAAGAACAACCCCCCCCGCCCCCCCCAAAAAAAAAAAAAAGGAAAGAAAGAAAGAAAAAACCCCAAAAAAGAAAGAAAAAAGAAAAGAGAGAGACAAAGATAAACAAACAGGAAAAAGCCTGCCCGTTATGAGACAGACTTTCTGTTGACGTGTCACGACATATAACATGGTGCTGGTTACGATAGACGACTGCAGACTCCAGTTAAGTCTCACCCACACAAACCCTTTTAAACTGGAAGGATTGAGATACTTAGTTATACTGACGCCCAACCAAAGAGTGGGGCAAGAGAAGTGAGATCTCCCAGGCGATGACTGATGAAAACTCGTTTTCAAAGAATCTTGTAGAAACCAAAGGGGCAAACAAACATAAGAAAGTTCATCGATCTTTTGGGTCCGCTCAACCTCGCCGTTATACATTTTATTTCGGTCACTACTGTGCCCTAGCATCGCTGAAATCCCTCCTTGAACCTCCGCTTCGATACCCAAGCGGTGGAAGGTTCATTGCACTTGATTTTGACCTTTCTATTGGAATTCTCACAATTTCTCACCTACAATGGCTGTTTCCCAAAAGTTACTAGTGATCCCCAAGTGGGCAGAGTTCCAGGAGCAAGCAAAAGGCGGCGTGATCATAGAAATACACTCCCGGCATGTCAGCGCCCATGAGTTGAAGGACACGCTAGAGACAATGTTTCCACACTCAAAGTACACCATCCAGGTTAGTATCAAGCCAAGGTTACACCCCCCCCCCCNC